TAATTTGATCAGATATTGACCCAGGCAAGAAATGAAAAACTGTAACTTTATTGTAATCAGTCTCAGAATAAATTTACCCAAATTGATTTATGAGTTCTTGTCTTATCAAAACCAGAATATCTTCATCAAGACACAAAAATGAGATTAGCTTATGTTGGCACGTTCCCCACGGGCCATTTATTTACAGATAAAATGTATTTACAACTATGGAAGTAATGAATGAACAATGACATGTTGAACCAGGTAAAAACTGAGAGAGTTTGTTATCACAAGTGAATGAACAAACAGACAGATGAAAACAAAAAAACGTAAACAAAAATAAACACTGAGAAATGAGTTTGAGGCTCTGAGTGAGGTGAGGTAAGCTGTTTTGCTGTGGTTTAACTAAGAACTCCTAGTTAAATTGGATCGAGAAAAACATTTAGTTGACCAAATCTCCTACAAAGATAAAAATCTAATCTACGTCTGAGCACCTGTGTATGTTTCACCAAGACAAGTGTTCACCTTTACCCTTGTTGTTCTGCCGTGTGGGTACCAGGAGGGAAGTCAGTGGTGGAAGGTCATCTCTGGAGTTCGTTCTCCAGACAGCTCTCCATGCAAACTGGACATCAGGCGGTCTGCCTGGTAAACTCGACTTGTTCAGAAAAGGAGTTTCTCTCTCTCTGGTGACTTGGGAGTCTGGTCCTTCACTGGTGGCTGTAAAACTTTGATTTGATCTTCACTTTGTAGGAAAAATGGACCAAAACGACGGTTGAATTACCATTAGCTTATTTAACTCCTTTAAAAAAATCAAAACTCAGAGATTGAGTCAACGTGTGGCGGACGAGCTATTTGAACAATCAGCAGAGATGTTGAATGATCACCCTCCCTCCCCATCCTGGTCAGCAAAAGGGAGGGCTGGCAAAGGGGGTCTCTGCTTAGTTGTAGAAGCTGTTTCTGGCTTTAAAGAAAAACAAAACTGCACCTTGTCTGACTGAACTGCATGTCTGCACTAACTTTTAAGACCTCTGTTATGGGCGGAGTCAAGGTTTTAGTTAGCCAATTGAAAAGCTTTACCAAAGTTTTTAACAAATCAAATGTTTGGAGGGAAAAACATTTTCTTCAATACAAAGGATGGGAGTGTTTTAGTCTAATTATCTTACATCTAATTAAAGGGGAACACATCTGCTTTACCTCAGTAAAATAAGAATGTCCATTTAGTGAAATTCAAACCTAAAGTTTTCTAAGGTTAACTCTAGTATTAACACCGTTTAAAAGAAACATGTTTTTTTCATGAACACATTTCATCAAAAAAAAAAACACACAGTTAGAACAATGTCCTTAGTGGGCACACAGTTAAAAAGAGGACAGAGTAGTTTTTTTCTTTATTTACTCAAGCATGTGGGTCCCTTTGTTCAAGTCATGCTGAAGAGTCTGGCAAAAGTATTTATGACACCCCCCTTTGAAGAGGAGCAAACAGGCTTGTCCTTATCATCACTCCAACTTGTGGGGTTCAGGAATGTGGCCATCCTTTATCTGATAATGAGACGTCAGGAAGTCTGGGGGTTGTGTAAGATATGCTAATTCGAAGCAAGAAGGACATGCCAGATCCTTAAAAGAAGTCTGAAATGAGTAGATTTGATTTTTTCTTTAAACAGTCACAGAACAGTTATATCCATCAGAAGTTATTAATTGTAGGAGGAAAATGCTACACATCCAAACCTGACTCATTGCTATTTATGTATTTTTGTAAGCCATGTTACCCATTCCCACCCCCTTTCACTCGCACGTGGCACTTCAAGAAAGTGAGCAGTAGTTGTCTTTTAGAACAGTGGTCCCCAAAGTTGGGGTCAGGACCCATAGTGGGGTCCTGAAACATCAAAGTGAGGTCCCAAAAATATTTTCTGAATTAATTACACTAAAAAATGACAACCAACAACATTTTTTTGCCTTTGTTGTTACAAAATAATAAGATTAGTGTACTTAGAATAAAAAAGCATAATAAATAATAATATATATTCTCGTTTATTTGACATGAAAACAATATTTATCAACTGACAACTGCTGGGGGCACAGGTCTCTGCTGCTGGTATTTTGTGGTCAAAAGCTGAAAAGTTGGGGAACCACTGTTTTAGAAGATGTCTGCAAAATCTTCAATAATACAGTTTGGCAGCATAAATCATAAATAATACATTTGTAAAACAACATCCAGGAGAAAGCAAATGTTAGCTAACGTTAGAAATCTTCCTCTGTAGCAAAATTCTTTACCCGGCCCTCTCAGATTTTGTCAATATAACTCTATACAAGGTGGCTACATGTGTAGAGAATACGCTTATCTTTTAGGGAATTACAGTAG